GGGGTCAGCACTATTTAAGAAAAAATAATCTGGATGTTAAGAATTAATATGATGGTTGTTTCCATTGTGTTGCGCATACAACAGTATTTAAATCTGCTCTGCTATTACAGCTATCCAATGTTAATTATAGCAGTTCCACCTTAAAAATCACTGCTTCTCCCACGCTGTTGGACAGACAAAGGACGTCCGGAGGGGCTGCGAGCCGAGCTGCCTGCTAACATTAGCTCAGCTTGTTTCTCTGATAACTTATTACTCCCCAGACGTCTGATGACTAAAAATCCTTCATCCGGTTCCAAATCCTTCTAGAGTTAAAAAGCACCAAAATAAAATACTAGTGGGAAAGAAATTATACCATTTTTTATTTAAACCACCAAAACTTTTCTGTAAAGTTGACCAATCATTGTGATTTCCCATGGAAAACAGTGAGTCATACGTCACCAAACAAACTTCCTGGTTTGTAGTTGTGCAGATGCAGACCATGGAGACATGTGCAAACGTCTGACACTGACCCTCCAAACCAGTGCGGCTTTATTCTCGCTGGAATTTAGAATTTTCACTGTTGGGGTGCTCTGGTAGCACCTGGTAGAGTGTGCATCCCGTGTATCAAGGCTGAGTCCTTAACACAGCTGCTCCTATCAAATAAAGGCACAGAATAATTCTTTATATACGAAATGTCATACAGTCGTAACATGCATTGCAATTTTTGTGCAGGTGTTTTACTGCAACAATCCCCAAAAAAGGCCTCAAAATCCTGCAGGCACTGGTAACAGTGTGAAAAATAACATTAGTTGTTGCGTCCTTTATAAAACGTCACACTATTTAAGAAAAAATAATCTGGATGTTAATGAATTAATATGATGGTGTTCCATTGTGTTCCAACAACATATTTAAATCTGCTCTGCTATTACAGCTATCCAATGTGACATCTGAGCTCAGGTATAAACCTTATCGTATTCTGTCATTCTCCATGTGTGCTGTGCCATGCTGAGCCATTCTGTGGCAGACAGCAGCACTGTTTGGCTAATTGGAGCATGGCCTGTTTACTTTCACACCAGTGACTTTCACCATGGGAGACATGAGATGGGGGAGAAGATGGAGGAGGGGATGATGAAGGAAGAGGAGGAAACACGGAGGGGGAGGGTGGAGATTTGGGGTTTTGACACCTCACCTCCCACTACTATTGTTTGTTAGAGGATAGCCTTGAAATAATTAATAATACATCAAAATAATACATTGTCAAACATCATTTTGTGTGTCTGTACACTTGTGTAATTAGGTCAATATGTTATGGAGTGTCTTCATAAAGGATGTAAATTTGAGCATTTTATTTCTAAAAATGTGTCCATCAATTTGCATTTCAAAGGCCCCTGAAATACTCAGACCAGCAGGGGACTGTGTAACTGAAAGATTAATAACAATGTAGGTTTAACTCTACCATAGCATCTGTGTATGTGTGTGATCTTTGTGTGTCAGTACAGAGTGGCTGCAGCATCCATCTGCTACTGCTTCCTCTCTTTTTTCTCACTGCATGTCTATGCTTAACTGATTATTTCTCTCTTGTATGCTCTGCCCCCCCCCCCTTTTGTTCACCCTCTTTCCTTCTCTCCTCCCCCTCCATCCTAGTCTCTTAACACCCCCTCCTTTTTACCATGTTTTCCCCATATCTTCCTTCTCTGCCTGCCCTACATACATACTGTGTATTCCAGCAAAAAGCATGCTTACTGCGTGGGCTGGATTCCCACATTTCCCTCCCTCCCTACATCCTTCTCTCTTTCATCATCTCTCCTCTCATCAGTCATACTGCTTCACTCTCAGGTCTTCTGGATGCCGACTGGGAACAGCAGACCAGGGACAGAGGAGCAGAGAGAGAGAGGGGAGGAGAGGATGGAGGGGGAAGGTGTGGCCTCTCTCAGTTGCCGACAGCAACCCCACTGTCAGTCACAGGCTCAAGCCCCGCCCCTTCCCCTTCCCCTTCCCCTACCTCCCCGTCCCCTCCCCCCCGGGACGGAGGGTGGAGGCGGAGGGGAGGGGAGGTGGTGGGCAGTGGATGCTGCAGCAGCAATATCAGGAAGCGAGAGGAGATGTTATTCCTCCTCCCAGTCTCCCTATCCTTCACTCCATCCCCGCTCGACTCCAGAGGAGGAGGCTGCGGCCGCGGAGCTTACCCACGAGAGGCTCCCTT